CCTCAAATCCCCCCAAATTCCCCCAAACCAGCCCCAAATTCTTCCAAACTGGCCCCAAATTCCCCAAAATCAGCCCCAATTCCCCCAAACAGGCCCCAAATTCACCCAAATTCCCCCATATTCACCCAAATTCCCCCAAACCAGCCTCAAATTCCCCCAAACCAGCCCCAAATTCCTCCAAACCGGCTACAAATACCCCGAAACCAGCCCCAAATTCCCTCAAATCAGCCCCAAACTAGTGCCAAATTCCTCCATATTCCCCCAAACTGGCCCCGAATTCCCCCAAACGAGCCCCAAATCCCCCAAACCAGTTCCAAATCCCCCCAAATCAGCCCCAAATCCCCACCTCTTGTTGGCGATGAGCAGACAGGTCCCTGAGAGCGTGTCCCCGGCCTTGGCGAAGAGCGGCGACTGGAACAGGCACCTCACCTGGTACCAGTGGGTCAGCGGCTCCGTGGGGGCCGTCGAGAGCCACACGGTCATTCTGTGGGGACAAAGTGACATTTGGGGGGTCAAACACAGCYCTGCCCCCCACCCAGAGCACCCCTGGGACCCCCCCGCACCCACATGGAGCCGATGAAGGCCACGTCGAACCAAAAAGCCAGGCCRTGCACCAGCCCCGAGTGCAGCATGTGGAATTTGAAAGGGATTTCTATCCTGGAAAACAAYGGGAATGGTCATGGGATTGGGGGGAAAAGACCCCCGGGACCCCTCAGCCACGGGGAGGGGGCTCAGCCAGGCCCCTCCAGGTAGCCCCCACCTGTGCAAGTCGCCCTCCTTGGCTTCCAAGAAGTTGACGGTGTATTTGACGGATTTGGCCATCAAAATTCGGATGTCGAAGGTGTCCTGGGGGATAAAAGGGGGTGRGGGTGGTTTTGGGGYGYTCCTGGATCATCTAAAGACCCCTAAAGAGCCCCCAAAACGGCTCCTGGACCCCCCACTCACCACCACGGGCTGTCGGAAATATTCGTCCACGGCRGCCCCGCGCAGCGCAGAGAGGTCGACGCCGTGGAAGGAGGGTTGGTACCTGTGGGAAAAGGGGAATTGGGGCTGGGGGTGGGCTCTGGGACAAAGCTGAGCTGGGGGCAGAYCCCAAAAGAAGGTTGGTTTGCCCCAAAATGACGCAAGTTGGTCCCAAAAGCAGGGTAGGCTACACAAAACACAAGCCAGGTTTCCCCATAAAACCCAAACTGGATCTCACCTAAAAAAGTGCCACACTCGCCCCAAAAACAGAGCAGATTCCCCCCAAACAGAGCAGATTCCCCTCAAAACCCAGCCAGAATCCCTACAAAACCCACCCAGTTCCTTCCAAACCTTTCCCAGATCCCTGATCCCAATCAGAGCCATTTCCCCACCGCAGCAGGGACTGGGAACAGGGAATGGGAAGTGAGAATGGGATCAAGGAACCGGGATCAGGAATTGGGATCGGGGATTTGGATCAAGGAATGGGATCAGGGAATGGAGACAGGGAACAGGGATTGGGATCAGGGACTGGGATCAGGAATTGGGATCAGGGACCGGATCAGCAATTGGGATCAAGAATTGGGATCACGGATTAGGATCAGGGACTGGGATCAGGGACCGGGATCAGCAATTGGGATCAAGAATTGGGATCAGGGATTAGGATCAGGGACTGGAATCAGGAATTGGGATCAGCAATATGGATCAGGGACCGGGATATGGACCAGGATCAGGAATTGGGATCAGGAATCAGGATCAGGAACTGGGATCAGGAATTGGGATCAGGGACCAGGATCAGGAATTAGGATCAGGGACTGGGATCAGAGATAGGGATCAGCAATTGGGATCAGGCACCGGGATAAGGGACCAGGATCAGCAATTGGGATCAGGAATTAGGATCAGGGACGGGATCAGGAATTGGGATCAGGAATTAGGATCAGGAACCGGGATCAGCAATCAGGATCAGGGACCCGGACCCCACCCGTGCCCTCACCAGAAGTTGGCCTTGGTGAACTGCTCCATGTAGAGCTGCTCGTCGGTGAAGGGCGCCAGGTGCACGTCCCCGATCGTGGGGAACATATTCCCTGAGGGGGGGGAAAAGGGACAAAATGGGGAGCTCAGAACCGGGGCTGGGGTGATCCCACAAATCCCAGAGCCCCTCGGGGACCCCCGGACTCACCGCTGGGTTTCAGGTACTTCTTGGCGTGCAGGTAACTCTCGAGCATGCGCTCGTTGAACAGCATGTAGCCCATGGGCTCCGAGATGATGATGTCCACCTGCTCGGGCAGGGACACCTCCTCCACCTTGCCCGGGATCACCACGATCCGCTCCGTCAGGTTGTTGCTCTTCACCAGCACCTNGATCCGCTCCGTCAGGTTGTTGCTCTTCACCAGCACCTAAGGGGACGGGGGTGGGAATTATGGGGTGGGAATTATGGGATGGGATCCATGGGATGGGATCCATGGGATGGGATGGGACCCATGGGATGGGAATGATAGGATGGGATGGGATGGGATGGGATCAATGGGATGGGAATAATGGGATGGGATGGGAATTATGAGATGGGATAGGATGGGATCAGTGGGATGGAAGGGGATGGGATGGGATCCATGGTATAGGATGAGATAGGATGCGATCCATGGGATGGGATCCATGGGATGGAATGGGATGGGATCAATGGGATGGGATGGGATCCATGGGATGGGATGGGATCCATGGGATGGGAATGGGATCCATGGGATGGGAATGGGATGGGATCAGTGGGATCAATGGGATGGGATCCATGAGATGGGATAGGTTGGGATGGGATGGGAATGATGGGATGGGATAGGATCAATGGGATGGGATCCATGGGATGGGATAGGTTGGGATGGGATGGGAATGATGGGATGGGATAGGATCAATGGGATGGGATGGGATCCATGGATGGGATGGGATCCATGGGATGGGAATGATGGGATGGGATGGGATGGGATGAATGTGATCAATAGGATGGGATGGGATGGGATGGGATCCATGGGATGGGATCAATGGGGTGGGATGGGATGGGATCCATGGGATGGGATAGGATGGGATCAATGGGATGGGATAGGATGGGATGGGAATGATGGGATGGGATGGGATGGGATCAATGGGATGGGAATTATGGGATGGGATCCATGGGATAGAATGGGATGAACTGGGATGGGCTGAGATCCATGGGATGAGAAGGACTGGGATGGACTGGGATGGGCTGGGATGAACTGGGATGGGCTGGGATGAACTAGGATGAACTGGGATGCACTGGCATGCACTGGCAGGGATCCCAGGAAGCCCTCCCAGCTCACCTCAGCGTGCTGGGCCATGGTGCTGGCTTCCACCGCGTAGATCTTGCGCGCCCC